ACAATCTGTCCTTTTGATTTTGCCATTTCCTGGTTTCCATGGTATAAAGATTCCCACTACAGTGATTTTATGTCTCACTCAACTCAGAGTTAGGAAAGAAGGATAATAATTGGCTCTGTGAGCACGTGTGGTTTGGCTTAAGCCAATACTTGAGGATCAAGAGGGAAGTTACTATTAAAGAAAAAGTGACACAACACAAAACTCTTCAAGATGAAATGACATATTTTCTCATACATGTAAGGAAGAAACAATATAAGGAGAAGACGAGGGGCAAAGGTTTCTCAAAATAAATACTATTTTAAAAATAAGTACTCTCCTGTTCAAGGCTTTGCTTTTTCTTCTTTTAATCCAGATGGGAAATCAATTTCAATCTTGTGTTTACTGAGTATGTTGCTATGTGAGAGGGTATACTAACAGGGAGAAAGAAATGCATAAGACACATCCTGTTTTTAAAGAGCTTAGAATCTAGCAAGGGGGATGATACAAGAATACAAATGACTAATTGACGTGGTATCACAGTACAGTGAACCTAAGCAAAGACCCAGTATAGGGAAACATGGAGCATATTTTTGTTATTATCTGTTTTCCTATTTTAAAAACAAGGTTAGGGGCAGCGAGATTGTTCCATTGGGTAATAACAATATTTGCCTTGCAATCTTGATGACCTATCTAAATTTTATTCTCAGATACAGAGGAAGGAGAGAACCAGCTTCTGAAAGCTGTCCTCTGACCTCCACGTGCACACCCTGGCACTGTGTGTACCTGTACTAAGACACATATACACACTATACACAACACACACACACACACACACACGCACACAAACATACACGTGCACATGCAAACACATAATAATAATAGTAATCATAGTAATAAATATTTTTATTGATTCCAGAACTTCATACAATGTATTTTGATCACATGCAGAACTCCTCTCCACTTTCTATCCACTCCCCACTACTCCCCATTTCATGTCCTCCATTATTATCTACCCTATTTATTTATTTATTTATTTATTTATTATTTGGAAATCACTTATCAATTCCAATCTGTGCTTCTCAAGTACATATTAACCCACAGGGCTTATGACAGAATGCTCAAGACTTGTGTAGACCCAAGCCAGACAGGGCCCCAGCATGGATGTGAGGGGTGGGTAGGAAGCTCAAGCCATAGCTGAGAATCTGTTGGCAACTGATGGGTGTTGGGAGAGGGAGAGAAAGTTTACCTTAGTTATGTGATACCTGGTTGTACTGACAAATAAAATATTTTAAAATTAAATTAAAGTTATACATGTACATAGCAAGTTTTATAGAATTGCTTTAAGAAAACATTCCTTACTCCTCCCCTCTCCCCTCTCTTTTCCAATAGGTGGAGCCCAACACTTTCCATTCTACTATGTGTTTCCTTTGGTATTTATTTCCCTCAGTGAATGATGTCCTGTGTTAATTAGAATTCCTGTGATTATTGAAACACTCAAAATAACAGTGGCTTAGACAAGCCATTAAAGTTCTAGTCAAGTTGGTACCCTGTCTACAGCTAGTATAGAAGCACTAGGACATCCTTAGAGATCCTAATGCTTTCCATCTTCTTTTCTGCCATTTGTGTGGTGCAATTCCTCTTCAAGTTCCAGAAGTCTGAGCAGTACAATGGAGATAAACAAGAAGAAAGATAAAAGGATGTATACCATATTTGAAAGGGAATCTCTAGAAACTTTTATTAGACACTTTCACTTCCATCAAACTGGCTAAAGATTAGTCACCTCTGTCATGCCAAACTGTAAGGGAAGCTATTAATAGAGTTCTACTGCCTCAGTCGTGTGTTCAGCTAAACTTATTATTTGAAAAGGGAAAAAAATGTGAGGAATATCCGGCTGGCTCTCACAAATCTGTTTATATTCTCACTCCTTTAGGCATTGTCTTTTACATTTTGACCACGAATTTAATGGCTTTCTAAAAAACTGCTGAGACTGTGTCTTGAGCTTTTCATTTATTTGTGTTCATATTTCCTCATATTCAATATTAATGTTGGGTGTGAGGGTGATCTGGCTGTGATATCTGTCACTCCATTGATCACCAGGGGATGATTCATCCAATCTGGTTGGCTAAGCAGGTGTCCCCTTCCTTACTCACAGCTCCATATGTGTCCCTCCTGAAACTGAGGCTTGGTTAAAGAGGACAATCTTCTCCAAGTGAGGAGGATCAGTCTTCCAAGAAGAGATGTAGTAGCACTTGCCTGTTTGAATCTCCACGCAAACTCTTCATATTAAGATTGTTATCACTATGCAAATACCTTTGAATTATGTAGTTCAATATCATTGTTTTTCTTTATACATTACATATTTTTCCCTTAGAGCTTATAATTTAGCTAGGTTTTGTCTGATTTTTGCTTTTTTTTGAGACACGGTCTCCCTATGTAACACTAGTTGGCCTGATACTCATTATGTAGCCTAAGCTGGCCTTGAATTTGTAACAGTCTTTCTGCCTAGTCTTCCCAGTGCTGCCATTATAGCTGTATGCTATGACAATAGCCTTCTTAAGTTTTGTTTTAGATATTTACATGTTTGCTTCTTTCATTTTTTTTTTCCTAGTTACTTTATTGCTGTGATAAAAACCACTGACCAAAGGAACTTGGAAAGAGTTTTATTTCAGCTTACAGTACAATCCTTCATTGATGGGAGCCAGGGCAGGAGCTCAAGCAGGAACCTGATGGCAGAAGTTGAAGCGCAGGCCATGGAGGAGTGCTACCTCCTGGCTTGCTTCTCTGGCCAGTAATCAACCTGCCTACTTGTTCAACATAGGACCACCTGCCCAAGGGTGGCACCACCTACAGTAGTCTAGGCCCTCCTATATCACTCAACAATCAAGAAACTGCCTCACAGACTTACCCACAAGGCACTGTGGTAGAAAAAATTCCCAAATTGAGGGTTCCTTTTCCCACATCTGACAAGTTGACAACCAGAGCTATGGAACACATTTTTCTATGCACTTACTACCAATTTTTCTTCAAACCCTCTTAATATACCTATACAAGTTTAATAGTGGAAAAGTTTCATCATCATGCAGATTTATTTCCTAAATCACATGATCCAGTTCAATCTGGATTGGCTAGTCTGTGCACCTGGGATAGAACTATTCCACTGTGATTCTCATATTTAACTTATTTTTTCTTTCTACTTTAAGATATCCTTACATTTATTTTATAACATTTTTACAAATTTTCTACTTAATCTTTCCCTGCCTTAATACTTTGTGCCACAGGGTCTTCAGAAGACCCCCATACTGCAGAAAAGAGATAAGGGCAATATTTTTAAAAATATATACTTCCAGGGCTTAGGGACCATTGTGGAAGAGGGGGCAGAAAGATTGTAAGAGCCAGGGAGGAGGTGCATGACCATATGGAAATACAGTCCTATAAGTTCCTAGGATCCTGCTCATGTGATCCTACAGGAGTGGTGTCAGCATGCACAGAACCCGTGCAAACTCAGAGACA